CGCCTTTTGATTTAATTCGGAATCCGGGTTAGCGCATTAAATCAAAGGGAATTACATATAGTTCCTTTTGATTTTATTCGTAATCGCTGATTCCCTGTTTTGCGATTTTTCAGGGGCTGATTCCAGGGGATGAAATTAGTATTTTGGGGGCATATTTACGTGTGAGAGCAGCCTATTACATGGAGAATCCAGATCCGTTAAAAACTGAAATTTGGAAATTTGGCGCTTAGTTCCCTTTCGTATAAATACGTCCATTTATGAAATCATAATCGGATCAATTTTGTAGAGGACTCAATTTTTCAAAATTCTCCCCAAAATCCTCATTTGGAGCAGGAGGTGTCCCAAAGATTCCTCTTGGTGAGTTCTCCTTCAGTGGCCCCCATGCAGACCCCCGTCGCCCCTCTAGCTGTACCACGGTATCCTCTACCTCTATGGCCCTATATCCGAAAAAGTTCCGCCCCATATAATTAATCAAGTTCCTACCTTAGGTAGCCTTTGAGGGGTTTTAAGGTGCAAAGGCCCAACCTCAATAACATTAGGACCCAGTAGTCTCGGGTAGTAATACATCGAGTTCGAAGTAGACAGGTGAAGACTCAAATTTTTCCAACAGCCATCGACTAGGTCCTCATATTCAGGACCGTAAGTATCTCTGGAAAATTCTCGTGCGACATTTTTCACCGTATCGATGAAGACCTTCGTCAGGTATGTTTCAGAAAACCAATTCTCTAGCCTTTGCCACAAGTTCATTTTGTTCGTGTAGTCATTGACCAAAGACGGGGTGAAGGATAGATGCGGTATGCTGCCAAGACTTCCTTCTGTGTAAGAATCCATGCTGTATGTTGACATCGATATGATTGGTGCGTATCCCGTGAGGCTCCGTACGACAGGACATGCGTAAGCGACGCAAGTGACGTCTACAATGACCACGTCAAAGGATATTTTCTCGGATTGCACACGCCTAAAATAAGAGAGATAGACACATAGACGGATTGGTATCGAGATAAGCAAAATTACATGGATCGCATTTATCAAAAACGTACCAGCGCGATGACAGTGTTGTAAAAATGTGGCTTCTTCAAAATTATCTAAAAAAACTTTCAGAATAGCGAACAGTTTTTGCTCCCAACCAAACAATATTTAATTTTAAAGGATAATAATTGTATACATTTTAATACTTTACATATCTTAAGTATTTTTCAAAGAAAGAAAGAAGTTGTACGATTTTGAAAACACTGTAATCGCGCTGGTTCTTATTTGCTAAATGTGATCCATATATCTTCAGTCTTGATGGAAGACTCATTAAATTTTCTCACCACTAAATAAAATATATTAAAAATATTCCGTTTAGGTTAAACTTTCGGCAACTTTTGAATGTTCTTACGGCATCTTCCTTCACACAATAGCCTTGAGGTATCTCCGATGCGGGCGCATAAAAATTCGGAGTATGTCTATTAGGCCGAGTTTGTCGTCACGACTCAAGTTTGAAAAATTGAAACCGACCGCAAATTTTAAGATGATAAAGCGATATTACAGAATCAATCAGAATTCAATGAGATCCAAACAGGGAATTGATCTGCTGTAATGATCCTCGGTTATTGGTCAGATAGGAGTATTTAAGATCACACGATGTTACACTAACCGCTGAAACTTAATGAAAGCTTCACTGAGGAATTGCTCTCTCGAAATGATCGCCAATGGCTTGAAAAGGTCCATAAGTTTCCATTTCGACTTTTCCTCTTGAAGATAAACCACGTCGTCTTTCTTCTCATCGGAGTAATACTTATACAAAAACGAAACGTCCACAAAAGTGTAGTTAGGATTCTGCTCCAGCCCCTGTAAAGTAATAAATTAAAATAAAAAGATAGACATCGCATACACTTTAATTGGAAAATCAAATTTCTGTAAGAGCAACATCTCAATATTTCCCCTCAGATTTCAAAATCTCGGGAAATCATGCACTATTGACGCTTCATAATGTGACTGCTCTTGGAAAAAGAGACCCCATTGTGTGCCACATATTTTTCAATATAGCAACGCGGCAAGAATAGGTGGATAACGAAACCAAATACTCTCTGTTCACGACCGGCTAATGAAACAGGGGAGGGGCCATACTCTACGGGGAAACAATTTTAAGAAGAGTTATCTTTGTCAAATTAATGGAAATAATTTGGTTTTTGAATGTGCCCTATCACATAAATTCTGATTGAACTGAACATAAAAACTGATTCTGTTGAACCAGCTGTCTCGGGCCCTGAACAAGGCATTAAAATTTAGAATAATATTGTATTAAAGCTACGTTTTTAAATTAAGAACTTTAAATTGTCATGACCCCAGTTTTGTTTGATATTTTTTGGCATTTTTCGCCCCAAAATTTCCAAAGAAAAGTATTCCATTTATTGCTATCAATTGCCAAATTTAAAGTTTCTGTGGATTGAGATTACTTTTTCGGCCGTGATCTATTTTATTTTATGTGCATCCTACAATTTTTTCTTGAACTTTGACAGAAGTAAAAGTATGGTGGAAAACTTACAGGTACAGCGTTTGTGCTGACAACAAAAAGCTCATGTCCTCTTTCAGCCAACTTTTCGGTTAAAGCCATGATCGCTCGTTGGCGACTAAATGACGGAGCCGGGTACAGAATGAGTATTTTGTAACCGTCAATCATGTGAAAGATGAAAAAGCAGCAACAAAAAATGGAGCGTAAATTCATTTTTGGGCGCTGTTCAAGAGAGTCGAGTCCTAGAAACATAGTTTTGAGATCGATAATGAAAAATGAATCACTACCAAATAATAACTTACACGCTACCATATACCTCTTCTCATTTAAACGTAAAGCTTCCTTGATTTTAATAAAATAGATATTAATGTATGTTTCAATTTTTTATTTCCGATTTTTTTGTTTTTTTTTTTAAAATTGAATATTTTCAAAATTTCTGAAGAAATTTTAGTGTTTTTTTTGACAACATAATTACTTCAGCATAATTTACCCGTTGATGCTCATAAATTATGTCTACTTTGCTCGCTATAATAATTGTTGTTGTTGAGTCGTTATATCAACACGAAATGAAGTGTATGAGTAAAGTCGATCTAAAATCGACGGTACTTAATTTCTTATTTCTAAAACTAAAGAAATAATTCATTCAAACTTACGAAGATTAACCTGTCCTTATTATTGATTTTGAAGGAAAACCTATTCCATGTTACACTGTTTAAACACCTTCGTTGCAGTATACGTATGTAGAAGGCGAGGACAATTCTTGTTAATCTTACCGATAATTGTATCTCAAAATTTAAAGTTTAGTCACTTACGGTGCACAAGTTACGAATTGTTAAGTCGTTAATTTTTCACCACTGAAATTTAGACCCTTTACTTAGATTGCTATTAGGATTTACTATCGCTTGAAACTTTAACTTAATGAAATTTTTTCTTCATATTCTGCCGATAAATAATATTAAAAACCGACACTGTTTCTTTCTGTAAAAAAAAAAATCAAAAAAAAGCGCACTTTATCCCTAGCGCAGACTTTAAACTTTTAAACTGTGTTAGAGGTAATGTTTTGTACTCTCCGAAGATAGCAAACGGTTCTGTTTTTCATACAACTGCAACATTTTTTGACAGTTTGAACGAAAGCGAAAAATAAATAATCATCACGCATTAGTTATATTTATACTGGCTCAATTTTTATCAAGTCGAGCTCTTAAGATTAGTGATATATGTTATATCATTAACCTTGGCATTGCTCTTATCACAAATTTGCTCGGATCTCAAAAAGAAAGTAATTCCGCATCGATTAGAAATATTGGCGTTCAACAAAAGCTCCATTCCAAAAGAAAAGAGTTGCTGAAGAACGACAATGGGCCGCATTCACAAGCGTTCCTTAAATACTATGTTGTTACATATTGCCCATTCTTTTAAAATTTCAAGTTAATCAAATAAATAGTTCCTTAAATAGATTCGCACCTTTAGCTAGCCCTATATATTGCTTTTTAGGATTGAAGGGACCTTTAAAATATCATCATTCATACTTGGAAGGACACTTTTTACGAGTTTTGAGTAAAATCCAACAAAATAACTTTGTAAATAGACCTTTACGAGGGATTATGATGATTTGCCTCTACAAACAAATTTAAAACACCAAAGAAGAAATACCGCGAATTTAAAATTTTAAGGGACGTTCATGCCTACCTTCAATTCTGTAATAATCATAGAATTTCGTGTTGATATTTTTTTTCTTCTTTTTCTTCTTTTCTTTTTTTTTAACGAATCTCGAGTCACATTCAACAGTGTAACTTTAGAAATAGATTCTTTCAGGGGAATACAATAATTTTCCTCGGCAAAAAATTAAAAACGCAGACAAATTTTTTGCAGGTTTTAAAAATTATATATGTAGGTTCACACCTACCTCGAAGGTTTTCAAAATAATACAACTTTTCCTTCTGTATTTTCATTTTTTGCAATTCCTAATCCTTCCACGGAAAAAACTGCCCGAGATTATCCTCTAAAATCGTGATGATACCCCCAATTTGTTGGTTGACATCGCAATCGGGCATTTCCAATAAATTGTGATGTGCCGCAAATCAAGTTGGAGTAGTACCTAAATATTTGGGTTCGTAACCTAATTCATTGGGGCACTACCACAATTAATTGGAAAGTTTCATATCTTCCAACAACCCCTACCTCTTTTTTCTCCGTGTCTCATCGCCTGCTCAGATCATTTCAAAAGTTTGTTATTCCGTTCAATTTTCCAGAAAAAATTGTTATTTTCATGTTCCGATGTTAAGTTGTCCCTGGAATCTCCCTTAATGACAGAGTAAACCACATGGGAACCTCCCAAAGAAAGGAGCTACCTAAAGCAGCAGATATACCTGCGAGTTACACGCACTTGTAGAAAGAAAAACACCAATAGGATACCAGGATTTCGATCGCTCGACGTCTACTATCGAAATTCTCCTTGCCTATTGCAGTGGTGAGGCGTGAATGATCGATTATCGACATTTCCTCATTTGAGGCTATGGCAAGGAATCAATGGAGATGTTGCATGTGTGAGGAATTTGCGATTTGACTGTTGATTCTTCTGTAAAAGTTCGCGAGAAACACGATGATGCCACTGGTTTTCTCTGACTTCAACTCCCAAGCTCAAAAAAAATTCTCAAGTTGAGGCCAAAATGGCCGGGGATATCCCACGCTATCCTGAGATCCACCTATACATCAAGACAAACTCTCCATGCAACGATAGGGAGCAAATACATTAGCAGGGTTGCCGTGTTTTCAGTTTTGGAGGCCCCAAATAAAGTGGCAGCCAGCTGTCTGTGTATTTGCTCCTTACATTTGCATAGAGAGTTTGTCTTGATGTAGAGGTGGACTCTCATGATAGAGTGGGATATCCCCTCCATTTTGGCCTCAACTTGAGAGCTTTTTTTGAGCTTGGGAGTTGATTTCAGAGAAAACCAGTAGCACCATCGTGTTTCTCGCAAACTTTTACATCAGAATTAACAGTCAAATCGCAAATTCCTCACACCTGCAACATCTCCACTTGTCGTAATAGTTTACGAATTAAACAAGTAGGGGTGGGGGATGAGGCTAGTCATGACGTCACACTGGGGAGCTTTTACAAAAGAATCCGTAGTCAAATCTCAAATTCCTCACACATGCACCATATCCATTATTAAGACGTTCGTCGCGAACACCTTGTCTATCAACCCTTTCTCATAGTTTTAAATGGTAGATCAATCGATGTATCGCAAAGCTTGCCACGCCACTGCAGTTGCCTATCGGCGTTACATTTTCAACAAGCGCTTGTAACTCGCAGGTGTAACTGGGCCTTAAAGAACGACGACTAGCACATCCCTAAACCGCGATACAGCCGCGGATCTCCATATAACGAGCCAATCACAGCCGACGTCTCCCGACCGTACTCTATGAAGCGGCCCTAGGTGTCAGTAGTCGGTAGTTAGAGTGTTCGGCAAGCGGGAGGGGGAGAGGCGGGCG